TATTATCATTTGTTTATTTATTTATTTATTATTATTATTATTATTATCATTTATTTATTTATTTATTTATTATTATTATTATTAATCTTCTTTCTTGTTTTGTTTATTTTGTTTATTTTATTTATTTTATTTATTTTGTTTTTCTTCTTTTATTTTTGTCTTTGCATGTTGTTGTTATTTTTATTTTTATTTTTATTTTATATTTTTCGTCTTATTATTATTTTTGTGCTTCTTCTTTATTTAGTATTTATTAATGCCTTCTACGCTTCTCAACCCTCTGCTGCTGCATCTGCTGCTTCATCTGCTGCTGCTGCATCTGCATATCTGCTGCTGCATCTGCTGCTGCTGCATCTGCACATCTGCTGCTGCATCTGCGTGTCCATGTACATATGCATATGCTGCTGCTGCTGCTGCTGCTGCTGCTGCTGCTGCAGGTCGCTTGCGTTTGCAGTTATTATTTCGCGCTTATGATGTTGGTGGAGACGGCGTTTTAGACGAAGAAGAGTTAAGCTGTCTCCTCGCTCATCTGCATGCAGCTTCTCTTCATCCGTCTGACAGAGCCCTCTCTACAGTACAAATCAAACAAGAAGCAAAGGTAATCCTTCTGCTGCTGCTTCTCCTGCTGCTGCTGCTGTTGGGGTTGCTGCTGCTGTTGCTGCTCCTGCTGCTGCTCCTGCTGCTGGTGTTGTTGATGCTGATGATGTTGTGGTTGCTGCTGCTGCTGCTGTTGATGTTGCTGTTGCCGTTGCTGGTGTTGCTGCTGTTGGTGTTGTTGCTGCTGCCGTTGCTGCTGCTATTGCTGCTGCTGTTGATGTTGCTGCTGTTGCTGTTGCTGCTGTTGGTGTGCTGTGGCTCCATTTTTATGTTGTTGCTGCTGCATGCGTCTCAGTCTCCCTAAGCCTTTCTGTTAAACCGCCCCTCCCTTGCTGCTGTTGTTGCTGCTGCTGCTGCTGCTGTTGCTGCTGCTGCTGCTGTTTAGGCGGAAGCTGCGGAGCTGCTGCAGCAGCACGGTGGCTGCTTTACCTACGATGCATTTTTTGCTTCTGTAAGAGATAAAGTTCTTAACGCTACTCATCGCTTGATGAGATTCAAGGTAGACCTTGTTGCTGCAGTGCAGCAGCAGCAGCAGCAGCAGGACCTGCTGCAGCAGCATCTGCTGCTGCAGCAGCAAGACCTGCAGAAACAGTGGATAGCCTTCGGGCCCCACACTGCCTCAGCCTCTTCAACAGCAGAATCTTTTTCTGCTTCTCCCCTTCATCCAGATGAATCCTCTGCTGCTGCTGCAGCAGCAGCAGCAGCAGCAGCAGCAGCAGCAGGAACAGCATACGTGACCTTGAAGCAGGAACAGCAGCAACAGCAGCTGCTGCCCGTGCAGGATCTGCAGCAGCGCGAGTTGCTGCTGCAAGAAGGAAGAAGAATAGCAGAGAGTATTATAATTAAAGCTAAGTCTATCAGCAGCAACAAAACAGCACCAGAGATCGAGGCGCTGCTGCTGCAGCACAATGCTGCAGTGCAGCAGCAGCAGCAAACTGGCTGCTTCTTCGCCACAGCACAAGATGCTATGAAGCTGTTTGATGCTGCAGCATGTCTCTTTGCTGAAGAAAGCAACCTTCTCGAGGTAAGGTTTAGGGTTTAGGGTTTAGGGTTTAGGGTTTAGGGTTTAGGGTTTTCCTGGGAGCATCTGCTGCTGCTGCTGCTAAATCAGCTGCAGGTAGTTCTGGAGGGTTTGCTTCTTCTGAAGGTCCCGCCTGCTGCACCAGCAGCAGCATCAGCAGCAGCAGTTGCTGCTGCTGCTGCTGCTGCTGCTGCTGCTGCTGCTGTTGTGTTTTTGCTGCTGCAGCTGGAGCTGCCTGTGCGAGTGTTCGGAAGTATAGAGGGACAGCTAGGAGATATCTGCGAATTGTTTAATTGCTTCGGCTGGCCTTCGTCTGCTGCTGCTGCTGCTGCTGCTGCTGCTGCTACTGCTGCTTCTCTTTCTAATAACGCATTTCTATTCATTGGCAGCCTTATCAGCAGCAGCAGCAGCAGCAGCAGCAGCAGCAGCAGCAGCAGCAGCAAACTAAACTTCGAGGTGCTGTTGCTGATCCTCTCGCTCAAAGTCCTCGTAAGACACGCATACGAAGAAATCTCTCCCAGCTAGCTAGCTAGCTAGCTAGCTAGCTAGCTAGCTAGCTAGGGGCTGCACGTACAGCAGCAGCAGCAGCAGCAACAGCAGGAGCAACAGCAGCAGCAGCACTGATTTAACTAAGGGCTATCCCTACCTAGCATGCGGGGGCTTCCTTAACAACTGCGGCTCTCCCTTCTTGCAGTATATCTAGCTTCTCTAGCTAGCTAGCTAGCTAGCTAGCCAGCTAGCTAGCTAGCTGAGGGTGTTGGTGTGTGTGTGCATTGCGTACTGCAGCACTTGAATGTCTTTTTGCTGCGAGGAGCAGCAGAAGAGCTGCTGCATGAATACAGCAGCAGCAGCAGCAGCACAATATATTTAAAACAAGAGTGGGAGGAGAAGTGCGGGTTAATTGAAGCTGCTGCAGTACGCAAGAAGCTGCAGCAGCTGTTGCTGCTGCTTCCGCTAGCAGCAACAATACCTTCAGCAGGTTTTCTGCTGCTGCGCGGTGGTGTTGGTGTACACTTCACGCATCTTCAGCAATTAAAGTCTACCCCTAAACCTTCTCATCTGCATTATCTCTACGGTCTGCTGCTCCTGCTGCTGCTGCTGCTGATAGGGCTGCTGATAGGGCTGTTGCTGCTGCTGATGGGGCTGCTGCTGCTGCTGATAGGGCTGTTGCTCCTGCTGCCGATAGGGCTGCTGCTGCTGACAGGGCTGCTGCTAGGGCTGCTGCTGCTGCTGCTGCTAGGGTTGCTGCTGCTGCTGCTGCTGTAGAAGCTGCTACAGCAGCAAGTGCTGCTGCTGCTGGTTTGTTTTTTTTTTAAGAGTTAGGGTGTATATGCAGCTGCGTTTGCATGCAGGGGAGCAGCAAAAGGAAGCTGATGCAGCAGCACTGCTGCTGAGAGACTGCCTATACAGCTGCGCAGAAGATGAAGACGAAGCAAATAATAAAGATGAAGATATACACTGTAATCCCCTCAGGTAAACACAAACAAACAAACTCTGTCTCTCTCTCTTTTATATATATATATATATATATATATATATCTCTGTCAATTTAGATTTGTATTTATGTTATATTATTTTATTT